AACGTTTTTCTAGCATCCCCTGCTTTGAACCAAGCTTCATCTGATGTCAGTCATGCTACCCCTTGTTCCATGTCCCCTTCTGAATCCAGCTTGAATTTCTGGAAGCTCCCTGTCGATGCGCTGCTGCAGCTGATGTTGAACCACCTTCAGCAAGCTTTTACTTATATAAGATATCAGTGATATTGTTCTACAGTCTGTGCGTTCTGTTGGGTCATCTTTTGGAATGCGCACAAATATGGATCTCTTCCAGTCATGTGTCAGTTCCAAATGTCCTGGCATAGATGAGTGAGTGCTTCCAGAGCTTCCTCGGCTTGTTGACACATTTCAATCGACATTCCATGAACTCCTGCAGCCTTGTTTTTGCTAATGCCTTCAGGGCAGTTGGACTTCTGCATTCAGTCCCATTGGTTCTTGATGATATGCTACCGCTTGAAAGCCTTGAACGTTGGCTAGTTCTTTTTTGGAAAGTGACTTTTATAGAAGGAAATACTCTTCAAGCAACTATCATTCAAATGTATGCACCAACCACTAAAGCTAGTGAGGATGAAATTGAAGAATTCTACCAACTTCTTCACTCTGAAATTGATCAAACCTACAATCAAGCTGCAATGACAATGAAATTGACTACAGAGGTCAAATGGACTCCCTCTGTGGGAAGAGATGATGGAGAAGCTCAAAGACAAGGCCACAGGCCAACTGTGGGACACTGTCACTGTCAATTGCTCATATGTAAATTCAGGTGGAAGCTGAAGAAAATCGAAAAAAGCCCTCGAGAGTCAAAACATGACCTTGAGTATATACTACCTGAATTTCCAGAGTAGATTTGATACATTGAACACTAATGACAGAAGACCCCACATGCTGTGAGATGACATCAAGAACATCACATGTAAGAAAACAAAAGGCCATTAAAAAGACGAGTACATATATCCTCTGCCAAGTCTATACATATTCATGAGTATATTCCCAACTCTCCCTCCCACAACTGTTCAGTCTCTGTGTCTCTTCAACCATCTACTTGTACGTCATCACTATTGCAGGGTTGGATGCCTTGTAATTCCGTGCTTCAAGAGGCTTATAAAGCTGCCATTCCCTGTACATTGCATTATTCCTATTGGCACTCTGTGACTTCATCCCCTTCAGTTACATTTCAGATGAGGATGAAAAGCTGCAGATGACCTCTTCATCTTCGAACGTCCTCTTATAGAGTCCGGCTTCCTTTTTGTAATGTTTGCAATGAACTGTGTGTCACTAAAGACTCCAAGCCCACTTCAGTTTAGCTTTGCCTCCTTTTTTAGCCACGCAGATCAATATTTAGAGCTGAGGGGTCAGGAATCTGGAGGGGTTTTTTTTTCCATGACGAAATTTAATTTATTTCATGTTAAACCCTCCATTTGTTGTGTGTCCCCTGCCCCCATCCCTCCCCTCTTCCTGTTCCCACCCCCATCCCTGGCCTCTCCATAACTGTCAAAGTCTTGTCTCTTAGTGTATAAACCACAAAGGATCCAGCTTCCTATGAATGTACCTTTATCTACTTCCTGAAAATTGTTCAACATTGGGAGAGTCAAATTAGAGTTTAATCCTAGACCCTGATTTGGTTTCAAAATTTGAAAGATGTTTGAAATAGTCCAGTCTTCCAGGTCAAAGAGTGGAAGGTAGTTCAACCTTGGCTTCATAATAACCAGACCCAGCTGCACCAACTAGTTCTTGAAGAAGTCAGTCATTGGATGCAAATCCTCCTCCCACTGACCACACACATGACAAAAAATTGCAGGAAAGTCCAAAATTCTTTGAAAACCTTCCTCTCGGCAGCATGCTTTGGAGGCTGCATTCCCAAATCATGAAGTTTAGAGGGATTTTGATATCATTGAGTCAATACCAGAAGGAGAACCACAGACTACCCTTTGAGTTAACTAACCTTAGAACATGTATATTTCTCCATTGGAAACCACAGTTAAATCCAATCAATGCATATATTGAAGTAGCTATGAATAGAAGTAGCTATAAATAGAAGTAGTGATTCATCTGTGTTACTTTTGGTTTGCGTTCTTGCTTCCAAGGCCCACAGTTATTGCTACTGCCCTTGGCCCTTCTTGGAAACACAAATAACCCTTAAGTGATTTCTGATGCCCAGCCAGCATTCTCTTTATCTTATGTTTGTTCACATCAGAGCTGCTTTAGTTGTCTCTGATTCTTTTTCTTGTCTTAGCAACTCCGAAGCAGTAACCCACTATATGACGTACCACTTGAGGCTGTGTTCCAAGAGTTTTCTTTAGAAGCTAAAGTCATATTAGGCTAAGACAAATGTACTATTTCCAGGACACCTTGACTGGCTGGCTGAACATTAGAGGTTACTCCGTCAGTAATAGGAATCTATTAAGGTATTTTTCCAACTTACTTCTACAGGACTAATTTTCATGATTTCTTCTAATGACAGATGAACCATATATCTGCCCAAAATCCATAAGTTTTCTGCACTGACCCATGAAACAGAATCACCTACAAAAAAAAAATTAGTATATAATGTTAAAGCCTTCACATTGGCATGTCATAAGCATCTTTGATATCAGGACCTCCTGCATGCATTCATGAATTCATTAACTCATTCAACAACAATTCACTGAGCGCCTCCTACCTGTGAGACACTGTTAATGCATAAGCAATCACAGACATTCAAAGGTGTGGTAACTGGGCCAGCACCATCAGCACCACTTAGGAACTTGTTTAGAAATGCAAATTAATTTGTGATAGTTGGGGGCCATACAAAAAATCATTTTACTTTTAGTTTAATACATCCCTACATAACAATGTGGCAACAATATGACATATGCTTTATTATTCCTTTGTTACCAGCAGAATAATGACTATCATCCTTATTAATCACTCTATCTTACTACACTTGAGCCAAACTTACTCCATATGTTCTCGTCTCTAAATCCTTTTATGAGAGATATTTGACTACAGGCAGGAGAGAGCGACAGAGGCAGAGATTGGGAATGATGCAGCCACAAGCAAAGAAATGCTGGCAACCACCAGAAACTGGGAGGGACGAGGAGCACCTACTTCCCTGGAGCCTCCCAAGGGAGCACAGCTCTGCCAACACCTTAATTTTGGCTCAATGGTACTTCATTCAGATTCCTAGCCTCCAGAAATGGAGAGAATAAAGTTCTGTTTGTTTTAATCCAACAAATTTGTGGTCATTTGTTATAGCAGCCACAGGAGACTCATACAGGGACACAGTTGATGTTCGTATTATACAAGCTGTTGCTCGCTCAGTTCTGAACCACTAGATACACCAAGAACCTAACTGGGTGGCTCATTTTAAATCAACTATCAGAGGTCTGCAAAAAGATTGTGGAAATTTTCGAATAAAAGATCATGGAATTTTTCCAAGAACTTTTTTAAGCTCTCTGGTATTTCTGCAGACCAATAATGCCCTTAACTTGGGTTGTTATTAACACCCAAAGTATCTCAACCTCAAGAAATTGCACAGACGCTGAAAAAAAATATGGTCCAAACAGAATTCATTTTTGTTTAGGAATAAAGCATAGGAATCTGATAAATGAAGGTGCCTATTAAATTCCGGCAATGGGGACACAGAGAAGTGTGGAGAGGTTGAGTGGTCGCCTCAAGATAGCACCCGACCTGGGCACATTCCTGAAGGTCCCCGGTGCACCCCACGTAGAGGGAGCCCTGCTACCTACATAAGACATGGATCATGATGCTGTCTGGCATTCCTGACGTACAATCCCAGATCGGAGTTCTAGGAGTGATTGTCACTCCTTGCACATCCAAACACTCTGGCCTCCTTTATGTTTCCCAGCATATCCCTACCTCCTTTCCCTCAGGCTCTTTGCACTTGCACTTGCTGCTCCCTCGGCCTGCACAGTCTTTCCTCCAGAATTGCACATGGAATTAGCTGAGTCAGCTTTGAGTCTTGCTTCAAATGTTAGCTCCTCATGGTAGTCTTCCTGATTCCTTAACCCAGGGATCAGCCAACAACAGCCCATCAGCCAGCCGTTTCTGTGTCGCCTCCAAACTGCAAATGGCTTTTACATTTTGTCTTAGTTTTCTAGTGCTGCTCTAACAGAAATACCACAAGTGGCTTTGACAAACCACAATTTATTCTCTCACATGGTAAACACACTGCCGTATAGTCAATTCCAACTCAGTGATACTAGACACAATTTCCTAGGCTTTGAACATCGTTAGGGGAGTAGACAGTCACATCGTTCTCTCCAGGCACAGCTAGTGGGTTTGAACCACTGACCTGGCGATTGGCAATCCAATACTTACCTGACAGCCCGGCTCCTTTCCTCACATGGTAGTAGGCTCTAAATCTGAATTTAGGGCACAGCACTAAGGGAAGCCCTGTCTCTGTCTGTCTGCTCTGGGGAAGGTACTGATCTCTTTTCAGCAATATTCAGGAGTCGTGGTCCTGGCTGATCACATGGCATGGATCTTCCCCTCCATGGGTGCTTGCTTGCTTGTTTAATCTACTCCTTTATGTCCCAAAAGATGTTGATTTAAAACACACTCTATACAAAGACTGTCTTATTAACGTGACAAAGAAAACCCATTCCCAAATGGGATTCTAACCGCTATCAAAAAAACAACAACTATTGCCATTGAGACCGAGTGGATTCTGACTTGGAGGACAGAGTAGATCTGCTCCCTCAGGTTTCTGACACTGTAAGGTTTTACAGGGACAGTTTCGTCTTCCCCTCGAGGGGCAGCTGGTGGATTCGAACTGCTGACCTTGGAGTTAGCTGCCCAACTCATAACCCAGCATGCTACCAGGACACCTTTGCAGCCACTCTAGGGTTAGGATTTACAACACATTCTGGGGGGAGACACAATTCAATCTGTAGCACACTTTTCAATGGCTTAAGAGGAAAGGAAGAGAATAATATTTTGTGACATGTGAAAATAATATGACATTCAAATTTTAGGGTTCAAAAGTAGTTTTAGGGGGACCCAGACATATCTACTCATCGATTGCCTATGGTGGTTGTCATGCCACAAAGGCAAAGTTGAATAGTTGCAACAGACATAGTTGGGCCTAGAAGACCCTGGTCCTTTACAGCAAACTCTGTTTCTATTCAGTGGTAACATTTTACGCTACTATCATCCCATTTTATTTTCTTCGTAGCAGTTTCCAGTGTTATTCATTCATTTCTGACTCGTGGCGAGCCCGTGTGGATCAGCAAAGAACTTGCTCCGTGGACTTTTTGATGGCTTGTTTGTCAGAAGCAGATGACAGACTTTTCAAAGAAGCTCTGGGTGAACTTCAACCTCCACCCTTTCGGTTAGCAGCTGAGGGAGTTGACCATTGGCACCATCCAAGTATTAATCTCTCTCTCATTTTTTTAAGGTACTCATTTAACATTTTTCACCAACGACCCTCCAATAACAAAATTCTAGCTTTATGCAAGCAGGCTCTGAGTCTTACTTTCGGAGTCCCCGGGCCCTTAAGAAGAAAATAACCATTGCCGTTGGATCGATTTCAACTCATAGGACAGAGTAGAACTGCTTCACGGGGCTTTCAAGGACGTCTGGAGGTCATCTTTATGGTGGGAACTGCCTCATCTTTCCTCTGCAGAGCAGCTGGTGTATCTGAACCTTGAATCTTTCAGTTAGCAGTTAAGCACCTACCATTGGGCCACCAGAGTGTGTCCCATAGATGACACATAATAGGATTTTTTTTCTTTTAAAATATAGTTTTATTCACATGTAATTCAAAAATCATACAATTTAATAGTTTAGTCATATTAATAATGGTTGTGTATAATCACCACAATCAAAATGAGGGCATTTTTCTTCTTTCTTATAGTCATTGTTGTTAGCTCCTCATTTCCCACCAAACTCCCCTGCCATGCCCCTGGGTGATTATTAATCCACCTACTGTCTCTATAGATTTACCTCTCCTGGATATCCTATGCAGAGAAACATACAAACAAAATCAAGAAGCAAACAGACAAAAAACAAATCAACGACAACAAAATTAAAGAGAAAAACCTCAACTGAAAAGAAAGCAGAGGATAATAAAACTGTGAACAACTTTAAGATGAAACAAAAGATAAGGTGTTACATTTCAACCTAACTCCATCTGCTACAACGGACTTTATAATGTCGAGACTCATTCTTGTGGTGAGCAGTCCATTGCAGTTCTTTAAGGAAGTGCACAGCCTTATCTGCTCCCTTGGAGCAGCGGATGGCTTGCTGGTCTCAGGGTTCGCAGACACATAATAGAATTTTAACAAACATATGTGAGATACCTGAATCCCGACCGAATTATGATTTGGGTTCCAAGGAGTTTAGAGTCCAATTTTGTGCTTTATCATCAAGATTTTCTAATAAAGCTATCTTATCCCATCTTAACGTATACACATTTAATAACCCAGTCTAAATTTCAACCCAATTCTAAAGGCTCTCATCAAGCCAACGAAGTCATCATTATCCATGTTCTATGAAGACACTAGGACACAGCATTGATTTCAGAGACATCCACAAGTGAAGGTGCATTGATAAAATGGGGCGTGTTTTCCCCATAAGCCTCCTCAACTCGTTTGAGCAGCAGGGGATAAAAACCATAAGAGACTAAGAGATCAAACCCCTGCTTTCAGAGAGGACGCACCTCTTTTGAGAATGCACTTTCCCCAAAGAGTAACCCCACCTTCAAATAGGGACTCACCGGTGAGGTTGGAGGATGCCTGCAAAATCCCCGTCATCCAAGAGTAGAGAGCTCGCTGGGAATGAGCCGAGGTGCGGTCATAGAGATCCCTGAATACCGCAGATCTGAGGGAAGCAAGCAAAGATGTCAACGAAGGAACAAATAGGTGGATCCTGCTTAAAGGGGGGTGGGGACAAGCCGCCAAGGGAGTCCCACGTTTTTTCTCTTCCTTGCCACAGCCAAAGTGTGGCTCAGACACGTGGTCTCCAGTTCCTCATCTCTTAGCCACTTTTTAAGCAATTGCCATCTGACTTCCCCATGACTACACTGTTCCTTGTGGTCCAACTCACCAATGAGCATTGGTGTTATAGCCAGAGGTCTCAGGTGAGCCAAATGTGACGTGATCTGTTAGCAGCATCTTCCTCTGGCTCAGCCCTTCCGATCACAATTGTGTGTCCTCATCCTGGAAGGCTTTCCTTACCCACACTCCATCCGTCGTCAGAACCAATTCACCAAATGACCAATCCATCCATTTTGTTAAAAAAAACATTTTATTGGGGGCTCATACAACTCTTATCACAATCCATCCATCCATCCATTGTGTCAAGCACATTTGTACATTTTTTGCCATCATCATTTTCAAAACATGTTCTTTCTACTTGAGTCCTTAGTATCAGCTCTTCATTTTTCCCCTTCCCTCCCCCACTCTCCCTCCCTCATGAACCCTTGATAATTTATAAGTTATTATTTTTTCATTTCTTACACCATCGGATGTCTCCCTTCACCCACTTTTCTGTTGTCCATCCCCCAGGGAGGGGGTTAAATCATTGTGATCAATTCCCCCTTGCTCCCCCACCTTCCCCTTACCTTCCTGGTATTGATACTCTCATTATTGGTTCTGAGGGGTTTATCTGTCCTGGATTCCCTGTGTTTCCAGCTCTGATCTGTACCAGTGTACCTCCTCTGGTCTAGCCAGATTTGTAAGGTAGAATTGGGATCATGATAGAGGGGGTGGGGGTGGGGAGGAAGCATTAAAAAACTAGAGGAAAGTTGTATGTTTCATCGGTGCTACACTGAACCCTGACTGGCTCATCTCCTCCCTGAGACCCTTTTGTAAGGGGATGTCCAGTTGCCTACAAATGGGTTTGGGGTCTGTATTCTGCACTCTCCCTCATTCACATTGATATGATTTTTTGTTCTTTGATGCCTGATACTTCATCCTATCAACATCTTGTGATCACACAGGCTGGTGTGCTTCTACCATGTGGGCTTTGTTGCTTCTCAGCTAGATGGCTGCTTGTTTATCTTCAAGCCTTTAAGACCCACATGCTATATCTTTTGATAGCCAGGCACCATCAGCTTTCTTCACCACATTTGCTATGCACCCGCTTTGTCTTTGGCGATTGTGTCGGGAAGGTGAGCATCACAGAATGCCAATTTAATAGAACAAAGTATTCTTGCAAGGGAGTACTTGAGTAGAGGCCCAATGTCCATCTGCAATCTTAATATGAAACCTATAAATATATGCAGATAGATCTATTTTCCCATCATCATATATAAATATATTTACATTGGCACATGCCTGTATTTAAACTTCTATAAATGCCAACTTTTTTGAAACTTAAACTTGATCCTTTCCCTCTCACAGCCATCTCACTTGTGAATACTTTCTTCTCTCTTTTTTTTCTTTTTTGGTAAGAGCAACAGTAGGTGAAAGGGGACAGATAAAGGTCTTCAAATAATTCAACAATATAGCATTTAAGAAAAAGCTTGCCCATCTACAAAAACCCTGGCTCTCTCATCCCTCCACTTGTTCAAGTCCTCCGTGCCTCAATTTTTCCATCTCGGAAATGGGTTGGGCTTAATGGCATTGCTTTGCCTCAGTTTCTTCATCTATGAAAGATGTCGATCAGGGTGGCTTCAGAGAAATATGAATATATTCCAGATTCCCCACTGGAAAATTGGAACTTTGGAGTCAGATAACATTACACTAGATTTGTCTATGGAGTTTCTCTCTGCAAGACTTGAACCTATCCCCTGGTTCCTATTCAGGGTGGTCTACATAAGGTAGGTTATCATGGACACCTGTGAGATTTGCCTGTTACCCTTCTTCTCTCGTATCACCACCTCATTTTCTCCTGAGGGCACCACACTGCTCTTCCTCTGGGCCCAGGTCTGAACGGGCTTTTGGCCCGCATCTAAGCCGTCCAGCATGTTAGGTCCCCTTAGCAACAATGACTGGCTCAAGGACAGGCCCAGAGCCAGTACAAATCCAGTCTAGAGCATTGTTTGGAAGTGTGGGAAAGAGATGCCCTGTGACTCCCCTAGAGCCAGCACTCCAAGGAGTGACACCTGGCACTGCCAGTGTCACTGCATCTGCCTGCCTGAGAGTAAGGCCAACACTGAGGAGGTTGGATTAGAGAGCCAAAGAGCCCCAGATATTCCTGAGGGCATAATCAGAGGGGCTGGATCAGCGGTTCTCTCTTAGCCAAAAGAGAGCACCCTCGACACCAAATAAGGTCAGTACCTCGTCTGTTTCTCCTGCAGTTCATTGGCTGAAGAAACAAGATAACAGAAGGTCCAAGTCTCTACCATCATCTTAGTATTTTCCTCCTTCTGAATCATTTTTTAAATTGCTTTTAAGGCCCTGAAGAGCGACAATTAGTAGAGGGGAATTGGCAATGGTGCATTCATCTAATTAGGAGATTCCCAAAGTGTCATTTTCTAAGGCTAAGTGCTAACAAGCATTAGGCAGCCTGCTATCTCACAAGGAGAAAATGACTCTTTTCAGGGCTCTGTCAACCCTTCTGCTTCCCCTGGAGGAGAAAGTCTCAGTTTGACATTTGGAGGGACTGGTCCCTGGAAATGGCATCATGCTTGGGAAAGTCGAGGGTCAGAGAAAAAGAAGACCTTTAATGAGATGGATTGACACAATAGCTGCAACAACGAGCGCAAACACAGAGATGATCCTGAAGACGGTCCAGGACCAGGCGGTGTTCTGTTCGGTCGTGCATAACGTCTGAATCGACCCAACTGCACTGAAGAACAAGACATTTTTACAAAAACAAAATCGGTGAGCTGAGTCCACTCCAACTCACGGTGACCCCAGGTGTGTCCACGTGGGACGGCACGCCACAGAGGTTTCATTGACTGATCTTTCTGAAGCAGATTGCCAGGCCTTCCTTCTGAGTCACCTCTGGGTGGACTCCCACTGCCAACCTTTTTGTTAGTGGCCAAGAGAATGAACTGACTGCACATGCAGAGACTCTAGTCATTCCGGGGTGGCTGGCGTGTTGCTGTGAGGCAGGAAGCTCTGACATTGAATTTTTAAATATCAGCAGGGTCACTCAAGGTAAACAGGTTTCAGCAGAGCCTCCAGACTAAGAAAAGACAACAAAGAAGGAATAGGTTGCCCGTTTCTGAGGTATTAGATCTTATGAATAGCAACAAAACATTGTCAGATGTAGTGCTGGGAGATGAGTCTCTCCAATTGGAAGGTAGTTAAACTATGACGGGGGAAAAGCTGCCTCCTCAAATAGGGCAATCTCTACTGACGTGGATGGAGTATAAAGCTTGGGGACCTTGATTTACTCATGGGGGAGGACTCAAAATGAGAAGAAATCGTTCCAAGCATCCATACATAGTCAGAATGTGGAATGTACAAAGTATAAATCTAGGAAACCTGGAAATCATAAAAAATGAAAACATAAAAATCAATACCTTAAAAATAATAATTTATAAATTATCAAGGGGTCATGAAGGAGGGAGAGTGGAGAGGAGAAAATGAGCTGATACCAAGGGCTCAAGTAGAAAGAACATGTTTTGAAAATTATGATGGCAACATATGTACAAATGTGCTTGACACAATGGATGGATGGATGGATTGTGATAAGAGCTGTAAGAGCCCCCAATAAAATGATTTTTTTAGTCATTACCTAAGGCATTATGGGCATATATAGGCATATGGGCAATATACTGAATGAAGCAGGAAGCCTCAAAATAAGATGGAAAGAATACACTGAGTCACTGTACCAAAAAAGAACTAGTTTACATTCAACCATTTCAAGATTAAGCACCAGCGGTGCTGAGGAAGAATGCAGCCTCACTGAAAGCATTAGCCCAAACCAAGGCTCTGGGAATTAATGGAACATCCATTGAAATGTCTCACCAAGCTGATGAAGCACGAGAAGCACTCACTCGTCTATGCCAAACAATTCAGAAGACAGTTTCCTGTCCACCCGACTGGAAGGGATTTGTATGTATGCCCATTCCAAAGAAAGGTAGCCCAACAGAATATGCAAATTAGGGAACAACAGCATTCGTATCACATGCAAGTAAAATTTTGCTGAAGATCATCCAACACTGGTTGCCGCAATACATTAACGGGGAGCTACCAAACTCCAGGCTGAATTCAGAAGAGGATATGTAGCAAGGAATATCCTTACTGATGTCAGATGAATCTTGGCTGAAAGCAGAGAACACCAGAAAGATGTTTACTTGCATTCCATTGACTGCAAAGGCATTCGACTGTGTGGAATAACAAGCTAAGCACAGCATTGAGAAGAATGGGGATTTTGGATCACATCACTGTCCTCGTGTGGAGCCTATATGTGGATCTAGAGACAGCTATGCATGAACAGGGAATATTATATGATTTAAAATCAAGAAAGCTGTTGGTCAGGTTGTACCCTTTCACTAGACGTATTCAGTCTGTATGCTGAGGAAATAATCAAAGAAGTTGGATTATAGGAACAAGAATGTAGCTTCAGGATTGGAAGGAGGTTGTGGGATATAAAAAGACTTTTCCCCAGCTTTGTCTCCCCCAAAGATATGCCAAACCTAAGAGGCTGTTTGCCAGTACATGGTGGGAGGTCAGACGCTTAGAGATATTCTCCCTGAAGGCATTCAGCCATCCAGAGCAGTCAGACTACTGTCTGGTCCACTGTAGGTGGGGCTCACACCCTATTGATAGGATAGTGATTGTTTCCTTGGAGAGCTTAGAACAGGTCAAACCTGCTCAGTGGCATCCAAAGTTAGGCTGCCATCCTGATTCTAGGATCTGCCCATCTTGTCACATGTGTACCCCCAAACCCTCCCCTTCCTATCACATGTATACCCTTAGAAT